TCTATGCAAATAACAGTAATAATGTTTGTTCTTTCTTTTTATTTATTGGGCTGGGGATTTAGCTCAGTGGTTCCACCACTTGCCTTGCAAGCACAAGGACCCGAGTTCGATCCCCAGTACCAAAAAAAAAAAAAAAATCTGTCTTTTTATTTATTATTTTGAGACACTTAACTTGCCCAGGCAGAACTCAAATTTGCAATTTTCTTGCTTTAGTCTCCCAAAGTGCTGAGATTGCAGGCATGTGCCACCACACCAGGCATAATACCCTATTTCCCAGAAAATAAAACCTAACTGGAAAATAAGCCCTAGAATGATTTTTCAGGATGCTCATAAAATATAAGCCCTACTCCAAAAATAAGCCCCAGTGAAGGTCATCAGCCAGATAGACACATTTAGCACATCCATTGCAACACATGACAGACATATTGAATTATAAAATATTAATATATAAATACAAATGAATATTATTGACATTAATACTTAAATGATAGTATAAATGATAATCAAGTACTTGTAAATACCAAAGCAGGTGCCTTTGGACGAGAGGTATATGCCTATATAAACAGATGAACTCCAGACCATACTGTTGAATGACCACTCCAAGCACAGACATAATGCACAAATAACATCCATACTTGATAATGAATGGACATGGTTGTGTCCAATATGAACCTTCATAATTCAATATGTCGTGTGTTGTAATGGGTGTACTGAATGCACTCATGTGAAACAAAGAAACATTTTCTGAAATTTGGTGCCTGCAATTTTTCATCACTTTATCATTCTTAACTGTGACCATTTTTGTTGACACTCGGTCTCGTAGGTCTTCAATTAACACTTGATTTAAAGGAAACTCTGTGAGGCCCAGCCTGCAAGAGGTCGTGACTTGGGTGAAGAATTCAAGGGATAAAATCACTGACAGCTTGTGTTGCCAATACACTATGAGTAGGCTACATGGACAAGAAATGCTCATTAAGGAGAGCTCTATTGTCAGACATGAGAGACTGAGGCCGATGGTTCTGCAGGAAATGGAGTCGCAAGAAATTCAGGCTGAGGCTAAGTGTGGTGGCGGATACCTGCAATCCCAGCACTTGAAAAGCTGAGACAGGAGAACTGCTGCGCATTAGAGGCCAGCCTGGGCTACATAAGCAAGACTCTGTCTCCAAAAACCAAAAAAATAAAAGAAAGAAATTCAGGCTGGAATTCAGGGTTTGGAGAGTTATGATGATGTTTCAGAAGATGACATGACTAGTTGAATAAATGTAGATTGTTATACATGAATAAATGCAGGTTGTTATACATGAAAATAAAACATCTCCTGAAAATAAGTCCTATTTGCATCTTTTGGAGCAAAAATTAATACAGGACCTAGTCTTATTTTTGAAAGAATACATTATTGTTTAATATTATAATCAATACATGTATTAACAACTAATACCATACACTTGATATCATTAATATTACAGTAATGGTAATTAATATAGTATAGTATTGGACTAATATTTATTCATAATAATTCTGTGCTGAGGTTGTACTTTGGGGGGATATGGAGGTTTTTTCTAGGGGGTTGGAAACAGGGTCTCTCTTTGTACAGGCTGGTCTTAAACTCACTACATAGCCCAGGCTGACCTCAAACACATCATGATATTCCTACCTCAGCCTCGAGTGCTGTAATTACAGGCATGCGCCACCACACCCAGCAAGGTTGTAGCTTTAGTGCTAAGTGGTAGAGTGCTTGCATAGTATATATGAGGCCCTGAATTTTATCTCTAGTATCCAGAAAAAGAAAAGAAAAAGAAAAATTCTTAAATAATTTTGTCATCATTGAAAAAGTTGGATATCAGCTTGGGGGTATACACCTGCAATCTCAACACTCAGGAGACTGAGGCAGGAGGATTGCTACAAGTTTGACATCAGACTGGGCTACGTAATAAGTTCAAAGCCAGCCTACACTGCAAAGCAAGACCCTGTCTCAAAAAAACAAAAACAGGGCCGGGGATTTAGCTCAGTGGTTCCGCTGCCTGCCTCGCAAGTGCAAGGTCCCCGGTACCAAAAAAAAAAAAAAAAAATGTTACTCATTCCCACAATTTAAAAAGCTATTCCTTTTGGGCGTGGTGGCACATGCCTATAATCCCAGCTACTGAGGAAGCTGAGGCAGGAGGATCTCAAGTTTGAGGCCAGCCTGGGCAAATTAGTGAGACCTTGCCTCAAAAAAAAATTTGTAAAGGGCTGAAAGCTAGGCACGGTGGTGCATCCCTGTAATCCTAGCACTGGAGAGGCTAAGGCAGGAGGATCACTGAGTTGAAGGCCAGCCTGGGGTACACAGTGAGTTCAAGGTCAGCCTGCACTACAAAGTGAAACCTATCTCAAAAATAATTAAATAAATAAAGAGTTGGAGATGGTAGCTCAGTGGTAAAGTGCTTGCCTAGCATGTGCCAGGCCTTATATTTAATCTTTAGTATCCCCCAGACAAATGATTCCAAATAAAAGACACAAAGATCAAATCAGAATGAAAGGATTATGTGAGGCACAGCACAGCAAGAAGAAATAAGAATACAAAAAATCTGTTTGCTCAAGCTCTCCACCCCACCCTACCCCCGCCCATGATATCTGGGGTTTTTTGTTTTGTTTTTTTTTGGTACCAGGATGGAACTCAAGACCTTGCACTTGCGAGGCAGGCTCGGTGCCACTGAGCTAAATCCCTGGCCCTCACTCACTCTCTGCCTCCGCTTCTCCCCACCCCAAGCTCTTGCTGTTATCCAGGCTGGCCTCAAACTCTTGGACTCAGGACAGCCTCCTGCCTAAGCCTCCTAGCACCTGGGACTATAGACACTACTGTGTCTGGCTACTTTTGCCTCTTTTAGATTCTAGCTTATATCAGAAATAAACGTCATACCTTAACATTGTATTTGTCATTTCCATTCATTTTTTTCTATACAGAATATAGGTTTTTTTAATGGCTGCATTAGTTGGCTATAAGATAACCAGTTTTGTAATTTCTTTTGAGGTGCTGAAGATCAAACCCAGAAATGCACTCATGCTAAGCAAGAGCTCTACCAGTGAGCCACCCAACCCTGTATTCTAATTTTTTTCTTTTAACCAGTGACATCTTAGATGTTGACATATTATTGGATGTCCTCCATCTTTTCAGCTCCCCAAGCTTTGTTCACATTATTTCTACTTGGACTATCCTCCTCTTCCTTCATTCCTGAAAAGCTAAATCCCATCCATTTTTGAAGACCTAACTCAAATGCTCCCTTCCCAACACTTGCTATTTCTAATTCATAATCTTACTGGGAATAAAAAGTGAATAGGTGATCATATCTGTCTTTCCTACTACATTATCAGACCCTCAAGTTAAAAAAATAAAGACAAGAAAACAAAATCTCTTGTCATTACTGTAAACACAAAAAGTTTAAAATTAAAAAACTGCCAGGTGTGGTGGTGCACACCTGTAATCCCCAGCACTCAGATCCCCATGAGTTCGAAGCCAGCCTGGACTACATAGTGAGTTCAAGACTAGCCTGCGCGAGACCCTGTCAAAAGTAAATAAATAAAATAAAATAAAAAACTGAAATCTCAGTTCAAAATAACCTTTAAGCCAGACAGACAGTGCATGCCTGTGATCCCAGCACTTGGGAGGCTGAGGCAGGAGGATTGCTGTGAGTTCAAGGACAGCCCGGGCTACATAGTGAGTTCAAGACTAGCCTGAACTACACAGTGAGACCCTGTCTCAAAGAAACCAAATAAATAAATAAATAAATAACATTTCAAAGCCAGGTGTGGTGGTGCACACCTGTAATCCCAGCCCTTGGGAGGTTGAGACAGGAGGACCCTCAAGAATTTGAGATCAGCCTGGGCTACACAGCAAGACCCTATCTCAAAAAACAAACAAACTGGGCCCCGGGGATTTAGCTCAGTGGTTTCGCTGGCCAGGCACAAGGACCAGAGTTCGATCCCCAGTACCAAAAAAAAAAAAACAACAAAAACAAAAAACAAACAAAAACTTCCAAAAAGAATAAGATAAACAGCCTAATTATTCAATTAGTGGAGATGCTGGACTCACTGTCTTCATAGATGAATTCGACTGACTTAATGGCTCTCTTTTGAAGCCAGGAACTCTGTATTAGTCGTGCATGGCCTCCCCCCACTTCTTATACCTCAGTATCACCTAATTCAATATTCTGACACACTGTCTCAATACAAAGCCATATTACTGCAAATAAGGAGTGTATGATTAAAACAAATTTTAGATTCTGGAAAAATACTGCCTTTGTAAGAGTGTTGTGTCAAAAATAAAATGCTGGGGGCCAGGGATTTAGCTCAGCGGCATAGCACCTGCCTGGCAAGCGTGAGGTCCTGAGTTCAATCCCTGGTACCAATAATAATAATAATAAGTAAATAAAATAAAATGCTGCCTAGCATGCCTGAGGTCCTTGGTTGGATTCTGAGGGGGGGAGGGGGAGAGAAAGAACAGGGTGGGACAAGGACAAGGGTGCAGAGTTAACTGGAAAAGGGGGTACAATGAACAAAATGAAGTGGAAACAAAAGTGGTCTCTTAATTTAGTTTATGCTCTCAAAGTGAGACAAAAAGCCAAATACCTTTCTGTAAAATTATTATTTTATCAGTAGTGGTGATCTTAGTAACCTTAGTTTCCCAAGTATAAAGAGATGTCACTAAACAAAGACCCCAGTCCCCATGACTTCTAACAGGGTGCACAGACCCTTTTGTTCCCTGGATTAACTAACATAGGCCATGACTGATCTGGATACTCTCCCTAGGACTGTACAAGAAAGTGACGTGGGTCAGGACCTAATCTCTCCTCTAACCCACTTGAGAAGGTACAATGTAAGTATGGTAAATATCTGAGCTGTGAAAAAATGAGAGTTTGGAGACTGCCCCAGATTAACATGACCTTCTCACAACAGTTGGTAGTACAGACAGCACAAAACAAGCTCTCCGGTGGAAAGGGACAACAGGAAGCAGATGTAGCATTTACCTGGTTTTTCTGTCCTATGGTTAAACTAGAGCGACGCAGACGGCGGCAGCGATAAATCCACGCATGAAGCCTCCAAGCTCACACACTCCCATAAGTCACCGTAACCGCAGCGGCTGTGGCTGCTGTTGCGGCTGTGGCGGCAGCGGCGGCGTCCAAGGCAGCGGCAGCAACTCCTCCCTCTGCTTCTTTTTCCAGCCTAGCCTGGGCGGCCAACACCCCTCACCCCTCCCTCCCAGGACTACCCCCACTTCCGGATGATGCCCCGGCCGGAAGCAGGACCGACTGTATAAAGAGAGCCACGCGTCACGTGAAAGGGAGCGCGAGGCCTAGAGTCAAGCTTCTCCCGCCCCCTGCTGCCCCAAGGCCGACAAACAGTTTCGCAAAGGAGCTTGCAGTGGGCGCTGGTGTCACCTTTCCCTCAATCCAAATGCCAAAAACAAACTAAAGAAAGCAAACACACACAAAAAAACCTTACCAAAATGGTGCCTTGGTCATCTATAGTTTTCTAACCTCAGACCATGAGGTATCATAAGGACTTGTAAATATTTTTTGCTGGTTCATCCTTGCCCAGCATGAGATTCGTGTGGATCTCTCACAGGTTAAAATGTCAACTTGCTTCTGTTACCGTATAGCTTAACTCCAGAGGTAAAACTAAAAACCATGAACTTGCCGTCATCTTTCTATTGAAAAATTGTATCATGAACAAACAAAGTGTTTATAAATTCATAGTCTTTATGGGAAGGGACAGGGATTGTCACCACACTACCTTCATATGACCATTCCTAGTTCTGAACCACTTCCCCATTTATTCACTGGCCTAACATTTTAAACATCGAGAAGACTCCAGGAGTGCAAAAAATATTAGAAGTATCTAACAAGCTGGTTGTGGTGGTTTAATTCCAGCACTCTAGGAGAAAGGCTGTTGGTGTAACTCTGAAGGCCCTCAGTTCAATCCCCAGAACAGTGGGTGGGAGGGATCTATTACCATGAGTTCATATGGAAATGAGATGCATAAAATCTAACAATACAATAAATAAATGTTACAGAAAACATCTAAAACATTATTTATTCTTGTTTTCTAATTTGACATTTTAAAAACAACAAAATTCTAAGTTCTTTTTAAAATAGTTTTCTGGTATTGAGGATCAAACCCACCCTACCCACTGAAGTACATTCCAGCCTGCCCCTCTCCCCTGAGTTCTGGGAATTGAATCCAGGGCCTTTCCACTACATCCTCAACCCTTTTTATTTTGAGCAAGTCTTGCTAAATTACTAAATTGTGCATGCTGGGCTCCTCCTGCTTCACCCTCCCAGAATGTTGCGATTACAGGCACATGCCAACACTCCTGGCTTTTAATTGGAGGAAGGATTGTTGGTTTGGTTGGGAGTTTTTTGGGGGGGGAGTGAGACAGGGTCTCACTATGCAGTTCAGGCCGGCCTTGAACTCACTATGTAGCCCCGGCTGGCCTCGAACTGGCTTTTAATTTTTATTTTGAAACAAGGTCTCACTAATTTGACCAGGTGGGACTCAAATTTCCTACCTTAGTCTCCCAAGTACTGGAATCACAGTAGTACCACCTCCCAGGCTGATTTTTTAAAATTGTGAACAGTAACTGTAAAAGAAGGAAAGATTTCATCTTATTTCCAAGCAAGATATAGCCTTTTTCTCATCCCTCTTATGAGAAATAGCTGTTACATTAGAGAAAGGTAATCCCAAAGCTATTTCTATTTTTCAACTGGAACAATTTAAACACAGTTCCCATAGAAGAGTATCAAGTTTAAAAATGTAGAATTAAAAAAAAATAGGCCTCATGTGGTGGTCCACACCGGTAATCCCAACACTGGAGGCTGGGGCAGGAGGATCAACGCAAGTTCAAGGCCATCCTGGACTACATAGTGAGGTCAAGGCCAGTCTGAACTACCTAGTGAGACTTTGTCTCAAAAAACCAAAATAATAATAATAAAAGAAGAATGTTGTAGAATTCAAAACAGTATCCAAAGTACAAATACTAAATATTTCTGAAAGACTTATAATAGTGTGTGAAACACAATAAATATTTAAGAGTTAAATAATTCCCATCCTACCAGTTGTCAAATTCCCATTAAGACTTCATAGGCAAAAAAAAAAAAAAAAACTTGATAGGCAACATTTAAAATTATCCAAAAAAAATAAAATAAAATAAAATAAAAAATAAAATTATCCACAGATTACCCGGGCATGATGGTGCATGCCTGTAATCCCAGCACACTTGAGGGTGAGGCAGGAAGATCAAGAGTTCAAAGCCAGCCTGGACTACATAGCAATACCCTGTCTCAAAAAAACAAATAACAAAATTATCCGTAGATCTAAATTTTAGGCCTACAATTATTTCAAAAGGAATTAATTCTCTCTTCTTCCTAAACCTATAAAATAAAAACCTATAAGATAAATTAGTCTCAGAACTCCCTATCTTCTCAGACATTAAGTTCTAGTTGTTAATCAATGTGCATAATTTCAATCAATGTGTGCAAGATACAAATTCAGCCCAAAATTTAATTTAAATTATTAAAAATCAAATACAATGGGGTAGGGATATATGAGCATCAGAGCAAAAAAAAACCCCATCATATTATATGAAATTAAATGGACTCCCAAATACAGTATTAGCAAGTTGGATTGTAGCTAATTATTAACACTGTTAAGCTTTCAAAGAAATTCAAAGATACCAAGAATATAGTTTTATTAGAAGCAGAATATTAACTGGAGCTTGGTGGCACACACCAGTAATTCCAGCATTCTGGGAGTGTGAGCCAGGAGGATTCCAAGTTTGAGCCCAGCCTGGGCAATTTAGCAAGACTCTATCTCAAATAAGGGCTAGGGCTGTAGCTCGGTGTGAAAGCCCTGAGTTCAACACCCCAGTACCACAAAAAAATTTAATTTTTTAAAAAATGTAGTTTATTAACACAAGCTGCAACATCCCCTATGAAATACATATTTATTTAGCCACGCAGCCTTTGCCTCAGTCTGAAACACCTTCTATCTTTAAATGCAACATCCTTAATCCTCCTTGTCAATGCAGAAGCATACTAATGTTTTTTCACAATCACTATATTGATTGTGCTTTCAAATAGAGGTATATGCCTGCACTGGTAATCAAGTTTGCTGTAAGTTGAGCAGATAGTGGCTCCAAAATGCTTATGATATCACCAATGAATAGTCACCAGGGTTAAGAACTCAACATCTGTGCCTCTTCAACTACTATAGCACCTCACTGTGAGTTCAGTGAACTTATAGTAACAGATTGGAGATGCTAAAAATAATTACTGTAGTGTAGGATTTAAAGCATTAGTCATGTTCACTTGAACTAAAAAATACTTTAGTCCTCCAACAGCATTTAAAAGATTGGCAATGTTTCTAAGCTGAGTCACTTATCTAAATTCTTCTGACATAGATACTTGAAAATAGGGAGCCTAATTTGATAACCTTCCAAATTTAAGTATTATTTAAAACTCTGAAAGTAACATGTTATGGGATAAATTGAGTCCAAATCTAGAACTCTCTTGCCTGAGTGCACTAGGAAAGCTGCAAGATTAGAATGTTGTGATGGCATATTTAAACCAGTTTCATTTCTAATAATGGTTGTGGTAATTTTTTTTTTTTTGCTACCGGGGATCAAACTCGGGTCCTTGTGCTTGCAAGGCAGGCAGCGAAACTACTGAGCTAAATCCCCGGCCCAATGGTTGTGGTAATTTTAGAATTACCCATCAGGACAAAATTGAGTACTAAATTAAGATTTATGGGTTTTTTTCCCCCAGTGCTGAGGATCAAATCCAGAGCCTCACACATGCTAGGCAAGTACTCTATCACTGAGCTATATTTTTTTTTTGGTACTGGGGAATCGAACTCGGGTCCTTGAGCTTGCGCAGCAGGCGGCGAAACCACTGAGCTAAATCCCTGGCCCAACTGAGCTATATTCTTAACCTAAAATTAAGTTTACTTTTTAAAAGTTTATTTGAAAAAGTAAAAGTGAAGAGTGAGAAACAGGCTCTGCAAAGAGAGCTTGGGCTGAGTAAAAGGGGAAAAAGCAAGAAAAAAGAACACCATGTAGCCTGGGATTTAGCTCAGTGGTGCCACCACCTGCTTCGCAAGCACAGGGTCCCAAGGAGTTCGATCCCTGGTACCAAAAAAAAAAAAAAAAAAGGACACCCTGGAGAAAGTAGAATGAACTATTATGAAGAAAGCCACAATAGCCAAAAATTAAGTTTAGAAGCTTAAGGATGGGGCGTTGCTCAGCGATCAAGCACTTGCCTACCATGGGTGAAGCTCTGAAGTCAGTTTTGGCACAGCAAAAATAATCTTTTTCATGTGTACTGACAACCAAATTTTACCAAAGTAACGTATTTTTGCTGGCAAGTGGACAGATAACATTCTAAAATGTCACACATAGAGCTGACAACTATCATATAACAGAAATAGTCCAAATCATACTGATTATTGCTTCCAGTCATTCGATATGATGGGGGAGAATTCAGAGGTGAAAAGTATATTATAATCTAATAGGCAGGGCCGGGGATGTAGCTCAGCAGTGCAGTGCCTGCTTGGTAAGCACAAGGTCCTGAGTTTGATTCCCAGTACTGATAAGAAAAAAAGGGTACGAAATAATCTAATAGACTGAGGATTCCTTAAAGATGTTTATCTTTCTTAATCACATCTCAGGTTTACATGCTTTTGAAGACTTCAGTCTTCTTATGAAGACCATTTCCACAGATAGGACTTTATGTGCTCTTATCAAAAAGTGGTGCTACTATAGTTATTAATCTTGCAACCTATTTATTTTGCAATAACATTGTTATTTCTATTAAAATCATGTAACCACCAACTTTGGTGCATTTGAATTTGTTTTTTGATACAAGGTCTCACTATATAGTTCAGGCTGGCATCAAACACACAGCAATCCTGCTGCCTCAGCCTCCTGAGGGCTGGGATTACAGGTATGCACCACCACACTCAGCTTGACTTTGGTGCATTCGAGGAGACTCTTAAGACAGTGATGGCGAACCTTTTAGAGCTTTCAATGATAACAAACAGCAGGCAACAGCACACGTGCCACTTTCACCACCACTGCTCTAAGACATACTGCCTTCATTAACAGGCAAAAAATCTAATACTTTTATATGTAAGGTTAAATGACTAGCAATAAATAGACTGAATTTTTTTTCTTTTTTTGGTACTG